ACTCTGGAAAACCAAAAGAAAACAGAGATTTTTCAGATTCTGACGGTTACAGATATGGTGAAGTATTTACTGAGGAGACAATCCAGGAGGCATATGAAACCATGTTCAACAAATGGGTTTTGGTGGTTAAAATGAATAAGTCTTTGCGGGAGCGAGTCGATGAGCTTATTAAAGAGAATGATGTACTTAAGAGGGCTGCCGTAAACTATGAATTTCAGGCTGTTGAAAATAAGAAAAAGCTGCATGAGACAAGAGCTTAATTGGAGCACACTCAAAAGTCATTAGAGATGATGAATTCCGGCACCACAAAATTGGATCGCATTCTCTCGATAGGAAAAGCGAGTGGTGATCGACATGACCTTGGCTATACAGGTGAGAGCTCAATGTCCAAAACAGTGTTCGCGAAGAAGACGTTTGCCCCTAAGCCTTCGACTTCCTCTAGAAAGAAGGTTACTATCTCATCCCCTCGACAGAGAAGGTTTTTTCCCACATGCCATTACTGCGGTTTACCTGGCCACATAAGACCGTGATGCTATAAGTATTTAAATGCTTTGAAGAGAGATTCCACAAACTCAAAGAAGACACCTAACGTGAAGATTGATGTGAAAAATAATTTTTCTAGACGTGTGTGGGTAAGGAAATCTGATTTGAGGTGTCATAAGACTTATACTTCTTTAGAAGCATGCACTAATGATTGTGGGTGTAGTGATGGTAGTTGCACTAAGCGATTGACAGGTGTTAAGAGCATTATACATGGAAAAATGCTACATTCAGAGAGAGTAAGACACATAGAAGATTCAGGGGGAGTAAGCTACATAGATCAATGCATTTGTAGATATCTAGTGCGAAGTGTTGCACCGATTGTTCCAACAAGTGTTACAACATGATTTGCGACATCAGCTGCTGATGACAGTTCTAGGGTGTGAATTTTTTTTTTTTTTTTTTGCATCTTTGGCTTATTTTTTACAAAAAAGGGGAGAACAATGCAATTTTATATTTTTTTTTGTCATTTTTGAAGTTTTTAGGATCTCTTGTTAGTTTTGCCAAAAAATGCCAAAGGGGGAGATTGTCATGTATTTTTATTAGTTGGTAATTTATTGATAATCTTGTAAAAATTCAAAAAGCAGGTTCAAGAAGATTTTGTATTTCAGAAGAAGATTCAAAATCAGATTTAGAGAGATAAGGATAAGGCCTTGGTCAAAAGAAGATAAGGCATTGATTATTTGAATTTAAATGGGATTCTAGAAAGTGATAAGGATCAAAAAGATTATGTGGAGAATTTCAACTGATGATTATCTAGATTTAGGAAGGCTGTAAACGTGGAAGATAAAGGAGATGTGGATTTGAATTTAAATGGGAGATAAAGCTTGCATGAAGATCAAGTTTTTTTCGGATTCGAATTCTTGGCTTCATCCAATTATTGTTAGGAGTTATTCAAAAGTGGAGATTTGAAATTTGAATGGCTTAAATATATATATATATATATATATATATGCATTCACGTGAGCTACACAAAGAAGATTAAGCTTAAGCTGCACATGTGATTAGAATTTGAAATTTGACTTGGTCAAAGAAAATCCAAATATAACTCGCTATAATGAAAGATAAGGCATTCGAAGATTAAGTCTTATCTTGCAACAAGGATAATTAATTCGAATTTAAAAATTTGCTGCGTAATTTGAATTAGAGATTGAGAAGATAATGTGAAGATATTTTGGAGCCTGTCTAGGAGAGAAAATCTTGAAGATAATAGAGATCTTATCGAGAGTGGATTTGAATGAGATTCTCTTGACTTTATTTAAAGGCTTTGTTTCAAAGTATATGAGACGTGATTTTAATAGAACATCTCCAGAAGAAAAAGACTGTGAATTTGAGAGCTTAATACTGAGAACATATTCAGAGAGACGTCTGTGAGTTTTTATTGAGACTGTTTTTCGGGTGAGAGATTTGTTACTTTCGGGAAGAAGCTCTGCCGGTCGAAGGAAGTTCGCCAGGTGAATAGAAGACGTGTGGTGCACGCTAAACAATCACTGTGAAGATTCGTCATAGCGGCGTCATTGTTTAGGAGGGAGTCCTTGAGTGAATAAGTCTGTCTAGTGTCTGTAATTTCTGAAACATAGTGAACTGTTTATTGTCTGGATGTGGCTCTGAAGATGTAGGTGTGCGCACCGAACTGCGATATCATATTGTATGTTCTTTTTTTTCTGCTCGAGCAACTGCACGTAATTAACTCGGATCTTAATTAATTAAGCCGTGTTCTAGACAGTAGGTCTTTATCTCCTATTTCTTTAGTGATATTGCTATCTGTCGAAGTCGATTCCTCGAGGTATCGCTCCAGAACAGATAAATTTAGATCCAATGCACAAACTTTCTGTGCGTATATTTTGTGAAATGCGTCCTCAGACATCCTTCCCGTTTGTTCATTGCTCTTCATTATTTTGAGTTTGAGAACCCATTTGTCTCTTTAAGAATATGTTGATAAAGATCAAATCCGTTGGAATGAAAGAGGTATTTCTGGTCAACAGTTGGTCTCTAAGACACAAGACACACAACCTTGGACGGATATCAAAAGCCAAGACCTTAGCTCCCTTTGATGCTGAAGCCTAATTGTATTTTTTTGCCTTCAGGTTTCATTCTTATGCTTTATACCTCCAGCCTGATCATTTCCAGATTTACTTCCTGAGGAACTATATATATGTTTTGCTCTTGAATTCATCAAGACCAAACAGCACAAGAGAGACGACTTGTTTTGGACACAACACTATCGAGCTTCGTGCTTGCGCTACTGGAATTATTGCCCTCAGGTTGTCGACAATCGGCTAATAAAACGCCATTTATGCTTCCTTCAGCGGAGACATGATGTTAGTATCCTTCAGTATCTTGTGTTTCACTCAATTTGCTTGATCTATCATACAGAAATCTGTATGGACCGTCATACGAATCAATAGATTTTAGGCCTGTTTGGTTCAATGACTTTAACCTATAATTTTGATTCAAAATCAAAATCACTCACTTACGAAAGAGGCCATTTTAGTACTTTTCCCTTTTGTGTTTTATCAACAGAATTGGGCTGTTTTTCACATTCCAGCTCAGCTTCTTTCCAAGTGGATAGGCCAATTGAAGCTACCAACGCTTTATCTAAATAATAAGAAGAATTCATGCACATGCAAAGTTAAACAGTTGTCAAAATAAATAAACAGTGAAAATTAGAATGGGAGTCATGCCTTTGAAAAGCAAGCATAATAAGGGCAGCTTTTAGAAATTGGTTTATCCTTTTCTTCATTCCTCTTTTTTACCTCTTTGTTTTGTTTACTTTCATTTCATTTTCTTTTTGTTAATGTACATTTTCATTGTTATATTTATTTATTGGGGATTACTATGTGTATGTCACCGAGGATTAATGATAATGCAGAGTTATTTGTTGGTTATTAAGTGCCCTAGTTGGATTTTTTACCTTTAACTTCGATTGCTTGTTTGGTTGTATAGTTATGGGCTATATATGTGTGTGTCATGCGATGCCATGTCAGCTCTTTTTTTTTTGGTCATATGCATGTGTATAATATAATGTATTACCAATTATTGTATGAAGTCTCGAAGAAAGCTTTTTGTTGTCAACAGCTCACAGCATCAGTAAGAGTCAGGGCGCATGGGCCAGAAACAACACAAAGGGGCGATGGTTGGGGTTGTGAGGCCCAATAGTGGCCCAATATGGGAGAAGGTCTAAATTTATTTACTTATTATTTATTTATCATATGAATTAACATTTTTTTCTTTTTAAATTCATTATGGCGGAAAAGGAGAGCAGGTGGATATCGTCCATCAGCAAGAAATTTGAATAATCCACTCCACCTAATGACGAAATGGATCAGCAGAAACTCAAAGATAAAATGATTAGCATCGTGGACAGAAACCAAAAAAAAAAAAAAAAAAAGGAAAAGAGTATAAATAAATAAGAAAATGTTTTTAACTTAAGTAGAAACAAAAAATTGTCTTATTGATCTTGTGTGAGTTAAGCTTAGACCGTTGTCGTATAGTACTCATCGTTAAATTCTATTAAATTAATAATTTTTGTATTTTTATATATCTTACATAATTTTGACATACCAATAATGGTATTATTTGTACCTTATTTATTTTGTGATCTTCCTAGAAAGCAAAAATAAAAATGATATGGCTAAGAAAAATAAAAATAAAGAAAAGGAGGAGGAAGAAGTGGGGAATGGGCAACAATGAGAATAAGGAGTGGAGCCTGCAAAAAGGGTTTTTAGAAGGGCCCCACCCACCCCACCTAGAAAGCAAAGGAAACCCAAACCAAAGCCTTTTCTTTTCCCCAATTTATTTTCCTAAAATTACCAAAAACACATGCACTCAATTTATTAAGCAAACAAGAAGAATAATTTATTACATATACATCTCATTTTTTATTTTTAAAAAAGAAAAAAGATAATTTCTACCGTAGAACATTGTCCTTATTAATAAAATTTATTGTTTTAAATATCGCGCGCGTTATAAATTTTTAGAGCCCATTTAGTTCGTTAATTTAAATTGAAATGTGATTTTATATGAGAGTTTTTTACTGTAACAAAAAAATTAAATGTGATTATTTTTAAAAAAAATTTACTGTAATAAAATTTGAATAGAAAAAATGAACGGAACATTAATATAATCACTCATAAATAGGATTGTATCGTAACTAAAAGAAGAGATCCTACAATGATAGAAGTTCAAAAAGGAAAAACAATTCAAAAAGAGGAGAAGAAAAGAAAAAAGGAGAGAAAAGTGGAGAGAGGCTTGTGTTGAAGGCCACGAAGTAACAAAGAGAGAAAAGTGATAAAATACATTAATACATGTATATGTATCACATGTGTTGTGGTGTTTGTGGCGTGGCTTCTCAACGTCCTAAATTTATATCAATCAATCAAAACACAACACATTACTAATCTCATTAAGATTACGGATTACCCTTTCTTTCTTCTTGCCTTCTTCCATTTCTCTCTCTCTCTCTCTCTCTCTTAATGATAATATCACATCATCACCATTATCGTCAATCATCTGAGTAATAGGAAATTTCTTTACTCTCTTTTTCTCTGTTTTCATTTCCTCCTCAAATCAATCAAACAAAGAAGAAATCTTTCTTCCTTTCTTTCTTTCTTTTTTTGAGATAATCATAATCAAAATCATAATCATCGGATCGGATCGAATCGAATCGGAGAGGATGTCGTGCTCGTCATCGTCGTCGGGATCGGAGGAGGACGAGGAAGGAATCGACTCGTACAGAAAAGGAGGTTACCACGCCGTCAGAGTCGGAGATCAGTTTAATGGCGGTCGCTACGTCGCTCAGCGCAAGCTCGGTTGGGGCCAGTTCTCCACCGTCTGGCTCGCCTACGATACTTCCTCCTTTGTACGAGATTCTCTCTCTCCTCTCTCCCTCTCTCTCTCTCTCTCAACATCTTTTTTTGATTCTTGAATATTGACATGAACTCTCTCGGAATCGTTACTACTTGTTTCTAAGTCGTATATGTACTTCCGATTGATCTTTGATTTTCACATCGGTTCCTTCCGATTGATCGATCCCTATGAAATGTTTTTGAAGATTTCAATTTTATTTTATTTTTAATTTATTAGAAGGAAGAGTCTTGACATTTACATCTGTTAATTTATGAATTTTGACGTAGTACAGAAGAATTCTCGTTATTTCTCGTTTTTCTGGTTGGTTGATTTCTGTTTTGATTTATCCCGAAATATTTGGTTGGTTTTAGAATGTTTGGATGTGGCAGTTTTCATGCTCACTGACAATTATGAAATGAATTTATGATCCTTTGTCTGTATATGCCGGGTTCTCATGGTTTTCTTCGCTTCCGCCTTTTTATGCTTTCTTCTGCCTCATTTGTCTTGCTCTCTGTGTCTACGGAAAAACTACAAAATCCTCTCTTAACCTTGAATATTCACGAATTACATAAAATTTCTTTTTAAAAAAAAGAGGAAAATATTTCAATTTTTTTTTCTTAAACTTATTTGTTTCCACAGAATTATCGCTAGTTTTATTTGCAGGCAATACTCATGTCTAACTTTGAACGTATCCCAGCCCTAAACGATGACATTTGTAAGGGATTGATAATTTGAAGGAATACTTTTGTGATTTCCCTTATTTAGAATGCAAGGTTGAATAGGGCTTTTTTACTTGAACTGTTGAACATACGAGGATTTCATAATTTTAGATACGTGTGTGTGTGTGTCTATATATATATATATATATATATATAGACACACACACGTTCCTTTAGAGTGTATCTATCTAGTTACATTGAAACTTGAAAACTTGAGGCGCCTGTTTAAGGGTGATGAAAAGTTAGAAAAGAGGTAAATGGGGACCTAGAGATTGCTCTGATTTGGATCTTATCTTACTTGATTAATCAAATAAAAGTCAGCATCCTGACTTGACTTTACACACCTATTGCCAACACCCGTGTCACGTGACAAGTTCCTTTCACTCGGAACACACGCACGTGCACTCATGTTTATTTGTAAGCTTCTTCATTAAGAGAAGGGACGGCTCTTTTTGTTTATGTTTATTTTGCTACTTCCCCAAGCATGCATGTGAATTAATAGTTGAGAAAATATTGTCTTGGCTACGACATCATAGAAATTGTTGCATCCTTATTTGTTGTGTTTTTGTGTTTTTAGAGGTATGTTGCTCTTAAGATCCAGAAAAGCGCGGCGCAATTTGCTCAAGCTGCCCTTCATGAGATCGAAGTCCTTTCCGCCATTGCCAAGGGCGACCCTTCAAACTCCAAGTGTGTTGTGCGACTCATCGACCATTTTAAGCACACGGGGCCAAATGGCCAGCACCTTTGCATGGTCCTCGAGTTCCTCGGTGATAGTTTACTCCGACTGATCAAATACAACCGTTACAAAGGCATGACATTGAATAAAGTCAGAGAGATCTGCAAATGCATATTGCTTGGCCTGGATTACCTGCATAGAGAACTTGGTATAATTCACACTGACTTGAAACTGGAAAACATTCTTCTCTTTTCCACTATTGATCCCACCAAAGACCCAATTCGGTCTGGCCTCACCCCGATTCTTGAAAAGCCCGAGGGAAACCCAAATGGTGGAGTTACCATGAATTTTATTGAGAAAAAGTTGAAAAGGAGGGCAAGGAGGGCAGTCGCTAAGATATCCGAAAGAAGAGCTTCTATGGGAGGACAAGCTCCAAAATCTGAGAGAAACCTTGATGGGATTGATCTAAGGTGCAAGGTTGTGGACTTCGGAAATGCGTGTTGGGCTGACAAGAGGTTTGCATTAGAGATTCAGACGAGGCAGTACAGGGCTCCCGAAGTTATACTGCAGTCCGGGTACTCCTACTCTGTTGATATGTGGTCCTTTGCTTGCATCGCGTTTGAACTTGCTACTGGTGATATGATGTTTACTCCAAAGACTGGACAAGGCTTTAGTGAGGACGAGGTAAGGATGGGTTGTCATATAATCGTTTCAATTAATTATTGTGGTGTAGAAGGATGCCGTTGCATTTAACATGCCTATTCTAAAGAAAGATCATTGAACACACAAAGGTAAGGGAGAGACAATTTTGTTTGGAATATAAAATGACATAATTTTTCTGCTTTGTTGATTTCTGTGATAATACAACTATATACTGAATTATAGGTTTCTCAAAGTAACCTCAGAATCATATTTATTTATAATCGACACTCTTAGATCTTCTTTATGAAGCTCATTGAAATGTCTGTGTTTTGTTGATGGGTGAAAAACTTTGTATATCCATAGATGTTTTTATACTGCTTTGTCAGTTATTGAACTTGGATGGGTTGATTTCAGGATCATCTTGCTTTGATGATGGAACTCCTCGGAAAGATTCCTCGAAAGGTGAGTTCCATTTTCACTTTTCCCTCCCACTGTTATGATCACTTTTTTTTTTTTTTTTTTTATGTGAGGTATATCAAGGTAATTAAAGACATGTACGATGGGGTGGTTACGAGTGTGAGAACTGCTAGAGGCTATACGGCAAAGTTCCCCATTCGGATTGGCCTTCATCAAGGATATGCTCTTAATCCTTATCTTTTCACCATTGTGATGGATGAGCTGACAAGAGAAATCCAAGATAAAGTTCCTTGGTGTATACTTTTTGTGGACGATATAGTTTTAGTTGATGAATATAGGGAAGGAGTTAACCGTAAGTTAGAACTGTGAAGCCAGACTCTCGAGACGAAGGAATTTAAGTTAAGTAGGATGAAAACTGAATACATGCATTGTAGGTTTAGTAACTCAAGTAATCAGAGTGATGAAATTTCTTTAGATGGTGTGGAGATTGGGGCTTCTAGGAAGTTTAGGTACCTTGAGTCTATAGTGCAGTACGAAGGAGATATAGAAGAGGATATTCAACATAGTATTAAGGCAGGGTGAGTTAAGTGGAAGAATGCTACGGGAGTTTTATGTGATGGCAAGATGCATATTAAGTTGAAAGGAAAGTTCTATAGGACTGCAATCCGCCCAGCTATGTTATATGGTAGTGAATGTTGGGCCATTAAGAGACAACATATATGTAAGATGAGTGTGGTAGAAATGCGTATGTTAAGATGGATGAGTGGCCATACGAGAATGGATCGCATAAGGAATGAAGTTATTCGTAGTAAAGTATGTGTAGCACCAATATAATATAAGGTGCGTGAAGGCCACTTGAGGTGGTACGGGCAACGTATACCGCTAGAAGCACCAGTTCGTGGTAGGGAGGACATTCTTATACATAATACTAGGAGAGGGATGGGTAGACTAAGAATTACGTGGACCGAAGTAGTTAGCAAAGACATTCTAGATCTAGACCTTCAGGAAAGTCTAATTTCGAACAGAGCTATATGGAAAAGTGAAATTCATATAGCCAACCCTAATTAAGTTAAGATTAAGGCTTGTTGTTGTTGTCATCGTCTATATTTTTCTTTCCCCCCGTTTGGATTGTCTATATTGTGCTCATATTCACAGGTGGCTGTTGGAGGAGCTCGCTCGAAGGATTTCTTTGACAGGTATGGAGATCTAAAGAGAATTCGGAGGCTAAAGTATTGGTCACTGGATAAATTGTTGATTGACAAGTACAAGTTTTCTGAGGAAGATGCGCGTGGGTTTGCAGAGTTTCTTTGTCCTCTTCTCGATTTTGCACCAGAGAAGAGGCCGACTGCCCAGCAGTGCCTGCAACACCCGTGGCTTAATCTCAGCAGCTCGACACCAAGTGCGACGAAGAATGAATCTAATGTGGAAAAGCTGAATATCGGGATGAGCAACCTTCGGGTTACAGTGGGCAAGTGAAGAAACAAGATTTACTGATTTTGATTACATATATGACTATATTGATTGTGATTTATTTTGTTTGTTACACTCCTAATAAGATTTATTTTTTGATTAACTATATACATATATAAGATGTAAATTAGTGATGATGATTCTTGTGAGAAATGATATTAGCAAAGAAATTTGACTTTAATTGGAGGCACCCTCCTTACAAGCTAGCTAGCCACAGGGTTTCCATGTTTATTCCATTGTCGTTCACTTTTATGAGTGGATTTTTTTTTCTTTTTTTTAATTTAGGGCTTAACGCATCATAGTGGAAAATGAAATACTTTTGCCTTAGCGTTCTTGCTAACGCATCTTATATTGGATATATAATTGGTTGTCAACAAAAAGAAGCAGAAAACTTTGGTAAAGAAGTTATATATTGGAAGATTGGATACCCCTTTTTATTTCTTTTTTGTCGGATTCCCGCTGTCAATTGGCAATACTTTCAATGACCGAGAAGATAAAATGTATATGGTTAACTTGGTACTAACGTAACCTCATATATTTTCCCCTCAGAAAAACTTCAAAGACGTTTACACGTCAAATCCGTGGCTTATTAATGATATTTTATGAATAGGTTATGGTAAATTTACCGACCACAATATTTCTACACTTATAGTTGAGACAAATAATCAGTAATTATTAGTCCATATCCATGTATCATTGTTTTTGGTTTCCATGTATGAATTGGATTATCAAATTGCTCATCTTATTATTCTTATTTCAAGTACTTGATTTCAGTGTTGGTTGTCAACAGAACAAGAGTTTTAGTACAACCGATTATATCCATGCAATATCATCAGTTGTAGACAAACAAACCACAAGGATAATGAAATCAAAAGCACATGAACAAGCGCAAAAAAGAAAAAAAAAAAAAAAAAAAAAAAAAAAAAAAAAAAAAAATGATAAAAAGAAAAATAATCATCCTCTATTTTGATTTTTGAGTAGCTCTAGTATATGCTTCATCCATATACAAAAGTGTTAATAGGAAGAAGAAAATAAGACTAACAAATATTCCCTATATGCATGATCTAACCCTTGTTCTACAACCAAAATGTTTGTATCAAATGATCTGACCAAAATGTTTGTGTTGTGTCAAGTCTGAATTTCTCAGCTTCATCAATGCATATGCAGCCTGGGAATATCGCAGGACGTACACCTCCGTATTAATAGCTGAAATTAGATTAAAAAAATGAAAAAGTTACTATCCTCTAGGATTTGTATTTAAAACTCAGTTCAGTTAAAACGACGAACGCACTCACTAAAATAGATTAGTGAAAAGGATTACCAACAATATACGTAGGAAGGTACGTTGAATTAATTGACACTCTCCCGCCTCGGCCTGGCTATAATATCCTTGAGCGAGAATAAGCTTGGAGTGTGAGCAATAGCTTGGAACTCAAACTTATCGCCACAAACATGGAAGTCTTTGACATCGAGTCCTCGGTCATGCTAAACCAGGGTATTGAAATCATGAAACACAAGTAATGTTCCATTATTATTTTTTACTTGAGTAACTTAAAGGATGATATTAATTGCCACAAAGGAATCCTTCTCCGTAAAAAGAAATAATAATGGAAAGCAATTTAGTCCAAGATTTGTTGTAGACCCCGTACTCCTTCATTACCCAAATATCAATATTATCACAAGTAAAATCGCATATACAAAGGCAATCTTCTTCCAAGACACCGATGGTCGTTCCACTTATATCATGTGGAAGAGAATGGATCAAGCCGAACTGGTCATTGTCGAAATCAAAATAAGCTATAGAATAAGTTGTGGAACAAATTAGCCAATGAAGAGCTCCGTTAATATATGTTGAGGAAGAATCGATCGTGCTTAGCAAAAGAGTAAAATGAATTCAATTGAATATAATAAAAATAAACATAAACTTATAACAGATTATTACTACCTTGCTTGTTAATTCTAGAAGACTCGTATCTGCTCTTACTAATAAGAAAAGGCTTTGGAAGAGTCATAAACTCTCCCATAACTTCCGAATATCGTCCAGCTGCCAAGCAAATCAAGCCGCTACTCGAATTCAGATTATTACTACCTGCCTGCTGGTTTTAGACTAGTATTGATATCATCGTATAATTTCCTGATATGATCGTCATGAACTTGGTCGGTGCTGCTATTCTTTAGCATAACTTGGGAGTTGAAAAGTGGAATCTTCTTCAGTTTGGTATTGGGGTCTATGTCAAACGTATACCTACACAAAAGAGGCTCCTCAGGGTGCTCCATTAGGTAAAAGCAGCCGTTGTCCTGAACCAAAAGAGAGCTATGATTTGATCGCGCAGACACAAAATAAGATTGCGCCAACTCTTGCACACGCACTTGCACGAGATAATGCTCTTCGCATCTGAGTTTCAGAAGAATTTCGACAAACACCTCCTTCGGAACATCCATTATGGATCTTCGGATTTGTCCATCACTCGTAGTACTACTACTTGTGTTGCAGAGTTGGGTAAACTCATGAGATGTACTTAGCTTTCTTCTCGTCATCGTAGTTGTACTCATTCTAAGGACAAGAAGATCTGGAGAGTGATGCCAGCCTTGCTTTTAACAATACTCAGAATTGCGCACCAAAAATAAATAAGTGAAAACCAAATAATGACAATCCAATCACAAATGAATGAAATACAGAAAACACAAATATCTTCACGGTGAGGTATTGTTTTATATCCTAACCAAATAATAATAATAATAATAATAAAAACAAAAACCCAAAAAAAATAAAATAAATTCCACTTTATGGTGAGGTTGTCGTATGGTTTGATGCAATTGTAAGTTTTGCTTTCTAGTTTTTTTTTTTTTTCGTGTTTTTCCTTATCAATTCATATACGTGATTTCATCGTTGTCATTGTTAATGTTGTCTTTCTATTGTGTCGTTTCGTCACTTGTAGTCGTTTTTAGACGACATACATGTCAAGAATCCTGTCGTTTTTCATTTTTTTTAATATCCTGTCGCTTGTCATTAAAGAGGAAAAGAAGAATAATGTCGTTTATGTGACTTGACATTTACAATAAACAAAACTAAGAAAAGTACCAAAAAGAATAAATAAATAAAAAGAAGAAGAAGAAGAAGGGTAACTCATCAACAAATGCGACTCATTTATTGCAACCCCTCATCTCAACAAAGGAAATTTTGTATCGTAAAAACATGGATACAAGCAATTAAACATCTAAATTTACATTTAGTCAGTCCACGTCCATTACAAAGCCAAAGCGAACAAAATAAAAAAAGAAAAAAAAAAATGAAAGAAAGCCGTTTCTGTAAGAAGAACAACATCATGAATCCTAACTCAGCTACCAACTTATATATCATCTTTGTAGCCATATGTCAGCCACAATAGGAATTGGACACTATGACTGCATCACTTTATTTTGTTTTACACATTCAGGTCCCTTAAACTCCTGAAATTTCCAAACTGATTTCGCCTCTTGTGGCATCACGTTGTCTGCCGAAGGCTCCATGGAAAACAAAGGAATATTACCAGCAGTAGGATTGCCCATGTTCATATCAGTCAATGGCGTTTTTCTAATATCCGCCGCCTCTTCTTTGGGATTCGCTTGGTCCCTGAATGCGCACGTGCTTAACGGCAACTTCTTTAGCTTCACTCTTCCTCTCTTTTTACCACCAGCCAACGTATCGTCCCAAGTTTTTTCCTCTGGCTGGCCAAATACTGCTTCCCCATTATCTATATCTGATTGTCCAGCTCTATCATATGTACACGTGTTCTCATCTACTTTATTCTTGTGCGACTCTCGGGTGGGACTTTCAAGGTTGACCTCGCCTGCTGCCGCATGTCCATTACTAGTAGATGCAGGGGTTTGCTCCAATACCACACCCCCATTTGAAACTCTTGTTTTCTCAGAACTGGATGAGATTTTGGGCTTCTTGTGTTTATGGCCCTTGCCATCAGAACCAGAAGAATTCTTTGATATTCTTGGGGAGCTGTTTATAGCTCTGTGCAACTTGCGAGCCAATTCCTCGTCTTTCTTACAATTCTCAATAGGCTGGTATTTTTTGTACAAGAGCTGAACTGGGACATGCTTTTTTAGCTTGTTCTTTTTCAGGTGTCTTTCCTTGCAGGCTGCTTCCTCGGAGAAAGAGGCAACCAAATCCAAAGCACTCTTTGCAGCAGCCACTGCCTTAGCAGCCACTGCAGCCTTCTCTTCAGCAGCAGCTCTGGCAGCTTCTGCGGCCTTGGCTGCAGCAGCTGCTGCAGATTTCGAGGCCTCTACAATCTCCACAGGAGAAAGGTTGCTGTTATGAGAACTCAACAGATTGCTAAGACGGATATCAAATTCACTTGAGGAAGGAGAGGATGGAGGAGGAGCAGATGCAGATGCGGATGCGGATGTGGATGCAGATCCGGATGCGGATGTGGAAGCAGCTAGAGACAGGAGCAAAGAACCATCAGAGTCTGAACCCTGTTTCTTCAATCCAGCAAGCAGGCGCTTTCGAGGAGGCAAAAGGACATCGGCATCCAAATGATTAACGTCGCATATATTAGCCTCCATTTTTCCTCCTCTGATTATGTACCTCCCTTAAACCCCCAATAACTCCACAAAGACCAACTGTGCACTACATCTACATACAAGGCAAAAAAACATAACTAATTTAATATCGAATGCCAACGAGCCGCTATAGAATCAACAGGAGCACAATAAAACAACAAATAACTTCTCTACTTTCTACAAAATGGTGCACATAATACAACAAATGAAGATTGAGAATGAAACACCATATTTCCAATTCTTTCATTGATCACTTAACATTACCAGACATTAAGTTTTTACTTGCGAATCTGAATTGATCACTAAATTTAATAAATAACTAACTCCATTTAATATTCAATCCCTTAGAGCTGCTATACAGATCAATAAGAGAACATCAAAACACCAAATAATTAATTTGTTTGCTTTCTACAACAATACAACAACTATTTCACTCTTTGAAATTAAAATGATGCACATACGACAACAAACGAAGATTGAGATTCAAACTTATTCCTTTCATTGCCTATGAATTATAAACATAATCAATACAACAAAACCTTTAACAATTACGAAACTGAGTTGTGGTTTCCTGGTCTTTCTCAATGAAACTCAGAGAGAGAAAAGCAGAAACAAAATATGTATATATATATATATATATATATGTATCCGTTAAAAAAGCACAAATTTTTGTTTCCTAATTTGAATCTCATAATCATCGGTATCATCGTCAAAATCAGCATAATTAAAACGATCAATTAAATAAAATTGGCCATATTAGCAAAAACACTCAGCACGAATTCGGACCGCAAAACCACGCAAAGAAAATGCAAATTCTCCAACAATTAGGATCGATAACAGATAAATGAACGAGAATTATCATCAATCGGCAATGTTTAAAGCCTGATTAAAGAGAATTCGCCTTAATTAGGCAAAATTCTCCGACAAGAAGAAGGATCAGAACAGAGTCGGAAGCAAAAACCTGATCTTGTTATGATTTATCATCCGAAAAGAGAGAAGAACAAACACCTGTAATTAGGGTTTTCGGAGAGGGCAGAGGGATGAAGATGAACAAAGAAAATCCAGGTCCTCAGGTAAAATTGATAATCATCTTCTTATACACACACACACACACATATATACACGAATACATTTTCACTTTCACATGTATTTCTATATTATTATTTACACAAAATTGAAATTTCTTTATTTATTTATTATTTTAATATATAAATATTGAGGACGAGAGAATTTGGATTGGCTGTGGGATTCTATTCTAGAAGCCATGGAGGCTAATCCCACGACATTAATTAATGAATGAATGCAACTATTAACTAACCTCCCCTTTATTACTAAACTAAACTCTGTAAATGCCCCAATTATCCTTCTCTTATTTGTCTTGGAAATTTTTTATAAGGTTAGAAAGAAAAACAAAAAACAGAGGGTGCGTTTAAAACTCGTTCTAAAATAATTTTATTTTCTGTATGAAAGTGAAAATGAAAACGTTTTCATTTTCATTTTAGAATCATTTTTAAAAATGCGTTTGATAGTTTTATTCTGAGATTATTTTCAGTTTAAAAAAAAACTGAAATTGTGTTTGGTGGTTTAATTTTTAAAAACATGTAATAATATTTAAAATAATAATATTAAATATATTAAATAAACATTATATACATGAAAATTAGGAAATGGGTTTCGGGGGCGGGGGCAATCAGAGAAGAGTTGGGGGGGCAGTCTCCGACACGGGCGAGGTGTGATTCTCCGGCACAGGAGATCGAAGCTCCATGGCCACAGGAGGCTTCTTCAATTGGTCCGGTGAGGGAGTTGATTTGGCATTGTGATGCTTTTCCAATTCTCTGGACACCGTTGGAGATCCAACAGACTTCAGCCTTTACTGTTGATTGTTGTTGTTGTCCAGAGGAGAGAGATCGTGTGTGAGAGAAGTGAAGGGCAGAAACAAATTTCAGAGGAGAGAGATCATGTGAGAGAAGTGAAGGGCAGAGGAGAAAATGGAAATGGAAAAATTGAAAACGAGTTTATTTCGTTTTCAGAATGACGGTGGTTTTTGGGAAAAATACAAAAATGATTTTGTTTTCATTTTTGGTCTAACGGTGTCCAGGGAATTGGAAAAGCATCACAATGCCAAATCAACTCCCTCATGGACCGATTGAAGAAACCTTTTGTGGCAATGGAGCTTCGATCTCCTGTGCCGGAGAATCACACCTCGCCGGCGTTGAAGACTGCCCCC